TGCGTACGTATAAACAAATCCATATTTGGGCATGAAAAGAGTGCAGTGAGAACACCTGCATTATTGATAGATAAGAAAATAATACAAATTAAGCAATTGTTTAAATAATCGTTCGGAAACGCGAAACATTGCGAATCGTCACGAAGCTGCACCTGCGTATCTCAAACGTTAGAAACATTTTTATATGCGTATAAAGAATGCTGCGTTTCGATTCGAATATGTTGAAATGAGCGTAAATTATTACACAAACTACGTTTAGGACGTTTTAACCATTCGGCTATTAGTCGCCCTGCGCATGTTAAATAAATGTTTTGTTTTGAAAACGTTAAAGAACGTGACAACATCAAATACAGCAGGTCGCAACGCGAGGCAACATGAGTGAAATATCATACGAATGTAATGTTACATTACTCTTTACATGAGAAAATAAAACGCACTTTTATTGCAACAACGAAATTTACAAAATAAAATATATATAATTACAAAGAAAAAAGAATAAATCAAAACAAGATAATTAAAATTATTTGTTTTCGTTATTTTTAACATTTCCCATTAGTATTTATAATGGTTTGCTTCCACCCTTTGTCCATGCGCAACATATATTGATCCTTACTTTGCAGTCCGTGTTTTTTTTTTCTAATAAATGTTTATCTTACATCCTGATGAAATCAGAATTCGCAGTTTATAAGCTTGAATTCATTCATTTGATGTTAAGCATTGAAAGTTAACATCTGTTAATGAAGATTCGTATGTTTTTTTCGAAAAGTATAAAGACATTTCTTTTATGATAAATAAATGATATCAAATGTGATTGGGAAGACATAATAATGTTTATATACAAAACTAATAGATTATAGATGTTAGTTTAATTGAACACGTTCGAATAGAAAACGTTTTCCAAATGTTTGATAATTGTCACAAAACTTTTATATGTTATATTATAATATAAATAACTATTAACTCCACTTATAAAATAATTTTTTGGTATACAAAGTTGAGTTTTATAAGTGTTTAGAAAACATTAATTGTATTTAATAAAACTTCAGATTTAAAGAATATAAAATAAAGTAAGATGAAACTATTACTTAATTATACATGTACATAAATAATTAAAGACAAAATAATCATGCAAATGATTAATTTCTAGATATTTTGTGATGCCACGTGTATCTTGCAGTTTCCAATAACGATTTAGAAGGATATATATTACATATTTTCATTTACGACTGTACTGGAATAGAATGTAATGATTGTTAGTCAGTTAATTCGGCACGGACGAGTCTGCGAAATTGGGATCGTCTGAGGATAATTGGGAAGAAAGATTTACGTTTGGCGAAATGCGCAATACATGTTATCGGCAATCGAATTAAGTTTGTACAAGTCGGTTTGTTTGCCGAATGGAAGAAGGGTGCAAATTGTTTGGATTTAACCATGCGTGCGTGTGTTTGTGTGCGCGCGGTTTACGTAACATCGATATTAGGGGGGTTGGAAACTGTTAGGCGACAACGCTCTTTCGTAATTTACGATCGGGCGGAAAAGGTGAGAGCGCGACCGAGAGGAAAATTATTAAAAATTTATGCAACGTACATGGTAATTTTTATTTTTGCATCCACTTTTTACGTTTTTCTTTTCGCCATGTTGACACAGTATATTACGTCGGCTACAAAATGGAAATATGGAATTTCTGTCTGATACCTCAGGCGAGAAATATTTTCCTCTCGGTATATATGTATATATACCCTCTAGTTATTACTTCCTTCCTCAAATACAAAAAAATAGAAGTAAATAATTATGGCTATTTTTCGGCACTAAGAGTATCCAAAGTTATATTAAGATTTGCACCAGTCATATAAAATGATTATGACTATTATTTTAATAAGGAAATAATGAAAAAAAACATTTTGTCGGAAATTTTAGTTATATTTTTGTGTTAATTTTTGTGAAATTATCTATAACAATAACAAATAACGATAACATTTACAAGACTTAATATTGAACTTGCTTTATATTTTGTTTGTTAATGTTACATAAATTCTGCTGACAAACTCTCTAGAATCATCACAATTACAATAGTATTCGTAACATATTTTCTGTGAGTTATAAAAGTTTACTACTTGGAAATAACCATCAAAAAACTTATTATACAATTTGATATCAGCAAAAAAAAGCAATAATGAATCCAATAAATATGTGAAAAGTTTAATTCACCTGACCCAATTTCATAAACATAGACAAATAATTGAATATTTATGTCATATTGATAACGTAGATTCTTTGAGTTAATTTTAAAATAAATAAATTCACTAAATTGGAATACGACTTTTCAATGTTGTAAAGGAGAATTGCTTTGATATATTTGTGTGACTGCTCTTTTTACGGCTTCCACATGTGAGAAATTTTCAAAAATTGAATTGAATGTTATTTTTATCTTCATAGTTTTGATCTGATTAAATGTTAATTTCTATTTACACGATTGTGGCGTGCTTTAAACTCATTATATTTCTAAATTTATTGGGTAGATGTTATTTAGAAGAATAATTTTGTTTATGTAAGCTTTAATATAATACAGAAAGTGTCAATGTTAGACTTAAATTAGTTTTCGTTCACATAAGTTTCCAAAGTTGGAAATTGGTAACTCCGGTAACTATTAGTTAATAGACGTGATGTAATAATCGTGTATAGTTATCAATACATATGTATATAATCAGCAAATAATTTGGATTACTTATTTTGTATAGCTGTTATATAATTCTAATATTAATAGATGTAATACAAGTGTTATGAGTTTATTACGAAACGGTTTTTATTAATACTAAAATGTGTTGTAAGTACAAATTGTCAGGTGCAGGTTAGTTTACAGATTGTTTCTTGCCTGGACAGCCGTAAAGTATCAGGTTTTACTGCGGGTTTACCCGTGGGGTCAGAGTTGCCAGAACTGTCCTATACCAACGGTCCGGAATGGAAGCGAATCTAAATACGCCATCTGCCCGAAAGTGTCTCCCTCCTAAATCCCACTTTCTCGCATGTGAGAGCAATTTTGATGCTCTCTTGTATACACATTCATATTGCTGTTTTTCAACCACACACAATATAAAATATGCAAAAAAATAATAATTATTAACTAAATGTTGTATTGTAATCAAGGATCAAGAATTATGTAAATCATTACATAAAATATTGTAGAATGTCCGATTGATACTTATATTGATATAACAGATACAAATTTACAAGTTTTCAGTCAACGCTGTCTGACTGAAATTAAATTTCACTAAGATGCAACTAGAATGACCACTAACACTAGGAAGAGTTTTACATACGGTGAAGTGAGTTTATATTTGTTTATATTATTTGTATCAATTCGGGGACTTGTTGGAAGTCTCTTTATATTTTTAATATTAGTTTATATAAAAAAGCGTCAATAATGTGTTTATTTATTATAATAATGGTTGGACACAATACATTTGTGTTTTGCATTTACATCAAACACAAATTATATTTGCAAAGTATAGTTCCCTTTAAAGAAAGATGACAAAGAAAGATAGTTAATATATTCATAAATACACATAATATGTTTTCAAGTTTTCAAAATGATGTAGAAGACTCACAATCCTCTTCTCATCGTCACTCGTTATGCGAATCGTTGTTCGTTAAGCATTATACTTAAATTTTGATTCATTTAATGTACATATGTAGGCTCAATGTACGTTAATATAAAATATCATTTTAGAAACACATATTTTACTGTTTACTAATGAAATCTTAAACATTTTTCTTTAGTTCTCAATTCATTAATTGCAATTGCAATGACGATCTTTATGATTTTGATTGAAATAGAAGTAGCACACTGGGAAATAATCCGATCAGACAAAATAAAACGAAGTAGATATTTCGAATATCTTTGAGATTTATGAGATGAGTAAATATACATGTACACGGTTTTCAGCCATTGATGTCCTGGCGGTTTCGATCATCCGATAGTGTTGATAACACACTCCGGTATCTTTTGCTTTCATTTTTTTTTTCTAGTTTCCGTGTGCCGTCAGAAATTTATAACTCCCCATAAATCTGAGCCAAAAATATTTTAGTGTGATGTTTATTTGTTCAAACTATACACAGTGCAAAAGTAAACAGGACACGGCCGAGCGCCAGATTTCCACAGTAACTCGGCTCGTTCGGAACAGATCCCTTCTTCGTTCGACCTGTCTCGCGTATTCCGCAAAAGATACATACACTTTCTGTTCACGAGAACGTACATCATAATCAACAACCATCATCGCAAGTGTAATTGATGAGGGGTTGATTTGTGCAGTGCGCTATAGTTATCATGTTTTTGGGTGGGTCTGTTGTTTCATTGTTCGTCGAGGCCGCCTCCGCCGCCTCTCTACCCACTGTTAAGTGACTTGAATGGATCTTGACAAAAATGAACTGCTGCATGAGTAAGTAGCGAAGGAATTGTCATTAATCAATCACACTGCTAACTCTCTCGCCTCTCATAACTTATGTATGTATGTATCTATACCCCGTGGAGCGATCGTAAAAGGCTCTAATACCGAAAATGATTTATTTCCCTTTTGCCGGTATTTTATTATTACCGAAAGAATTGGAAGCACGAGAAAATTTATTTCATACTTTTTTTTCCTACTAGAAAATGCGTGATTTACGCTGATTGGATTTTAAATGCTCCAAATCCATCATGAATTTTCGATATCGAATAAACATGCTGTACTTTCTTCTCATGTTCATTACACAAGCAAAAATAAAGATCATTAATTCTATTCATAGGCATTTTTTGGACGTAATACGTGAGTAATTGTCCAGAATCAAACGACCTTAAAGTATTTTATACCAGTTCTTTCTGCGCAGTAAATATTAACTTTAGTTTCATATACTTCTTTTCACATATTATTTAAGATAATGAATATTTATAACAAATAAGTATATTTTCTGCATTTCTCTGGTAATTTTAATTGGAGTTTTGTACAATAATAGTCGATTTGCTTTAAATTTAGCGTTTAACGATTATGTTTTCCTGGAAGTAATTCGACGGACTGGTTGATAGATTTGTTTATATTTAGTTTTATTTTCTTACAGAACATTATTTAATACGTTTAATAACGTTATAGAATAATTATATAACAGCGTTTCTCAACTTATTTTGTGCATAAAAAACAACATATTTGTTTGAAGTTATATTGTGACTGAATTGTATTTTGACACTTTGACAGCTGTCATTTCGAGACTCATTACAAATTTAACGCCATCTAACATTGGTTGATAGTCAGAATCATCTCGTGGTAATAATTACATGATAATTTATGAAATGATGATATTACTAAATGATTTATCGAAAACCATAACATTAGAATGTAATATTGAAACTGTTTATCATTTTTTTTATTCTATTATTTTTGTTTTATCTAGATCAATTTTACGAAATGATAATGATTGGGTAGATCACAATGATTATGTCATACTATTATGAGCATATATTTAAATACAAAATTATTGTTTGTATAAGATTAGTGGAGTACTAAATAAAATGGTAATAGTAAGATAATACTAAATTTGTGAAATAAACTACGGTCAGTAGGTTTTGAAATTATGTATGTTTGTTTGTTTCAATCAATTTTATTAGTGTTGCTATGAAACATTATAAATTTGAAAAGTGTGCATTGAAAAAATGACAGCTTTATTGACATTTCACGTAACAAATTGAGTAGGTGATAGCATCCGTGTCAGCAATAGTAGTGGTGTTTTTGGCTCAATCAAAGGCTTTGATGTCGTAGGTGTAACATATCAATTAGTGATGTTATTAATTAATAGACTGGCGATAAGGTATGTTACAATTAGAGATTTATAGTGAAACTGGCGTTATGTGAAAAAGTAAGTACAGTGGAACATCGCTTAACGAGCAAAATGAATTGTAAAAAAAAATGACTCACTTAACGAGCGACGTTTCGCATAACGAGTCCCGGATTGCACGCCTGCTACATCATTTTTATCACTTGTGTACACATATTATTACTATAAGAGTAAAAATCTGGAAATTTTGAAACGGATTAAACTCGTAAAGCGAGTTTCCACTGTAATTAATTTTGCCACGATCACAACAATGTTAATCCTTTGACCGGGTTTCGCTACGTGTCCTTCCAATTCCAACCCTCCACCGGAAGTGCGTTTGTAATTTTATGTATGTCTGTTTTTTTTTTCTCGATTTCTCGAAAAAAACGTACCGTCGGTAGAGGAAATGAAATGATGGGACGTGCTGTGATGCGAGGGTTGGCTGGCTTTAATCAGGATATTCAGTTAGCAGAAAACTGTCACGCAAAATGAAAGATAACATTATATACCGTAGAGCAAACTGCATGTAACCGGAATTTTCATCTTACTCTCATAAAAATACATGCAAACGGAAGGGGACGTCGCTTTATAACTTCGAACTTTATTGTGCAAAAAAAAAAGAAGAAAAACCTATTATATAGAGTAATCCCAAACGAATAGTGTGCCACGATCTCTGACGTCGCTTCTTAGAATGTTGCTCGCGTAATTTGTAGGTTTTTGTAGGTCGATTGATTTTCTTTTTCTTTTGTTCCAGAGAGTGCGGGTGAAGATGAAGAGGATGCAAACGAAAGTTCGCCTCCGCATTCGGGGGCTCGAAGAAATACTGACACCTACATAGACATCATCAAATCGGAGGGAGCAGCCATGATGTGCCTTCTGGAGAAGCCCCTCGTCGACAAAAAAGTCAAGGTGAGTTTCATCTCAATATCAAAGAATATTCACAGTTAATTATTACAACTATACACATTCACATTTTAGTTACATATTTTATACGTAAATTGCATTTATTTAAATTATAAGAACGAATGGCAAAAACTGGAATAAGCATATCAATCCACCAAAGGGAATAACCACTATTACATGTATCGATTTCCCTTGTAAGTAACAAAGAGATACATTTTGTATCTCGTGTGTATTTTTGTTTTAACAAGTAAAATGTAGAATGTTTTCGGCTCTCGTGCTCAGCGGTCTCGAGATTTACATTTCCCCGGGAGATCGCGTTCCCAGATAAAAGTTCCATTCCAGTTTGAGGGTTTTGCTGGGAAGGCCGCAATGCCTCCTCCATCCGAGTGGAATCCAAAACTCTGAAACTCCGGGTTTGCGATGTATGAAAATTAAATTAAACGCATATAAATCTCTGGTTGTGCGACATTTATTTTCGCGCTCGCCGATAATTGCTGGACACTAATGGCATGGCATCTCCCTACATGGTTTATTAAGTAAAGTGCATCCCCTGCGGCCGTAAAGCTCGTGCACTATCCTAAGCAAAACCTAATTGAAATTGGATTATGTCTCAAATAATAATAATAATATCGCAACGAAAGAAATGCGAAAACACTTCGATTAGCTCGCAACACAATGTTTCCTCAATTAAACGGGAACTGTGTGTATGAGTGATGCTATTACGTTTTATGGACATCGAGATAATCATTCGCAATTTCTTTGGAGCCTGGAAGTGTGTGATAAAAGTACTCCAATAAATTGAAGTTTATCTTGGAAATAAATTACAAAAATTTGTATTAGATGATCAATTATTAAGATTTCATTATTTGTTGGAATTATGTAAATGTTTTTGGAATAACATATTTGTTAATGCATACGCAACGAGAATCGCCTAATATACCGGATTAGTATAGTTAATGTAAACTATGAACTAAATTTCAACAATGTGATTTTAGCAAAATCGAAGCTTAATCGCCGGATTTAGATGATTCGTCACATTATTATTTGAAATTTATTACCATTAAACATTTTGTCAATATACGTCAATATCCCGGACTGTTTGAAACCGGACTAATCTAGGTGTTAAACCCGCATAAAAATAAATAAAGAAAAAGATTATTTAAAAACATATTTAGTCTGAATTAATATTTGGTTTGTTTAAATATCTTCCATAATTTATTAATATTTTGTAAATTATATAATTATAGTTATAGCTATATAATAAACTCTATTGTACATGAGTAGTCCAGAATGTTATTGACTTGTAGTATTGCTGTAAGTTAAGCAAATTAACTAATAACTATTTTTTGATTTTTTTTTTGAATCTGATGTAAATTGCAATAACTTTATCTTATTCCAGATTATATATTTGACTTTGTACAATCGTAGTAATGTATTATTACTGAGTTTAACTAGTTTATAAGTGTCATTGTTAACTTTGTCTAAGAATGATTTGGATTTGCCTGCAGAATTTCATTGAATTGTTATTTGAAAGTTAGTACTTATACATTTAAGTTAGATTACATTAGATTAGTCATGTTTATGCATAATGAATACAGAACATTAATGAAAATATTAATTAATTTCTTGAAAAACTATGAACAACAATAGTTATGTAAAATATTCTTTTGTAACTCAAATAAAATTAACTATACATTATAATTGCAAAAGGCAATTTACTATAAATCTTTCCACCCTTTGAAAATAATTTAAATGTTTCTGTTTTTTTAGCTTTAATTTCGTCTGTAATTAAATTTTATTTGTGCATCTGGAGAGGATAATACATACTGACACATGTTTCATTTCTGTGGTTCTTATATAAAAGCAGCAAATACTTTTGATGTTTAATATCGAGGCGGCGAAACGAGTATTTGTTAGTGTATTCATGATTACTCCGATAAATATGTGTATAAACATAAAACTTTAAGCTTCAGCTCTGCATCCGTTGGAATTTAAAACTATTTGAACTACCTACATTTGCAAGGGTTATTTCCAAGCAATATTGTTTTTACGGCAGAGCAAACGTGACATCTGGACTATATTATCCACACCTGCTCACGCTGCATCAGATCGTTACGTTATTTTGTGTTTGCTTTTTTATAATATACCCATGATCTTTATATTTGCATAGAATTAATAACGAAGAAAGCAATTTAGATATATTTATAATATCGATCTGTTAGGTAATATCGGTTCTTGATAGTTAACTTACAGAATATTTATATTACACATTTATCAACCACTATTATATAAAATAACTAGTTACTTAAATATTTGCAGTAAATAAATAATTACATTTAAAAAAAAAGAACGATGTTAAATTTTAACGTAATATGCAAAAAAAAGCGCAATAAATTGTTTGGCTTTTGTTCGATGCAGTTTTTCAAAGCTTTTTAACGGCCAATGAAATGCACTAAACTCGTTGAATTCCCTGGAAATAAAATTAAAAAAAAAAATGAGAGAGAGAATTCATTGACGCTGCTGCCGACGCTTGCAAAACAGAATGATGCTCCGTCGAATTTCTGTTGGCACAAATAAACTGTTAACAGTAAACTTAACACATGGGCTTTATTGCGTTTCGCAGATGACAGACTGTGTCCAATTTCGTTTAGTTTCTGGAATGGAGACTTTAAGCCAGCGTAGCGTATTGTTCTTTACAATAAATGAATTTTTATTTAAATTGCTTTTTACGTTTAAATAAATGAAACTTTATTGAAACTGTTTTTTTTTTGGAACTATGAATTAAAATTGTATTATTCTGAATAATCAACTTCAGTTTAATTCAGTCCATCGGTAATTTCAAGCTCAATTTTAATGTATGCATGTAGTGTTATTGTCAGAGTACAATGAACTAATTAGATAATAATACTTCTAGCAGTAAGAATTGCATTGAAAAATAATCATTAATTGACGTTAATCTATACAGTCGATTCTTTTGCAAGGGTCAAGTGAGCTTGGATTAATGCTATTCATTCAAACAAGTTTGTATAAAAGTTAATGACATTAAATTTTATCTGAACATCTATAAAACCCTTTTGCCAAACTGTAATTGTAATTTATTTTTGTCATTTGGAACGTGCTGAAAGAATTATGTAATGATTGCAACGATTCTTTTCATGTGAAAAGGCAAGATATTAAAGTTGTAAATCTAGCTGTTTGTTCAGTCGGCGATAGGCAATACCCGGTAGCGAATAAAACACATTTTTTAACCACTCGTTTTCAAAAGAAAATGTTTCCCCTGCGGATTGTGGCTTGAGTGGTGCGTGATGGATGCAAGCCGCAAAACCGCGTCCGGCCTCTGCCAAGAGGAGAAGAGTAAAATGTGTTTACATTCGCCTATTGAGTTACTACACATCGTATGAGTGACTTCCATCAAGCTTATTGCTTTCATACCAACTGGAAAAACAAAATCCCATAGAAGAAGAAAAAAGGTATGGGTGTCTACACATTATATGGCCTATAGAGCATCTTGCGCTTGCCGATGGATTAATGCGTTGTACTTTGGCTCCAGTCTGTTTTCCTTCGGTGTTTTCTTCCTTTTTTTTTCATTGATCAATATGTGGAATTATTCCGGAGGAGCTTATTCAATAGGGATTTAATTCGCGGATAATGGGTTTGGGCGGTAACCAGCAATTACTCGTTGAATAATGCGTGGGGCGCCGCCACTACGTCCTCTCTAGTGTTCGTTCTCTTTTTGTTGTTGTTGTTATTGTTCTTGTCTTCTTCGGATTTGTTTTGATAGGTCAAAAGCAAGCGAGCAAAATTTCAATACGCACACTGACAGAAAACCGATAACGCAATCAGACCGACACGTACAGATTTCCACTCAACCTAGGCCAGGCAACCACCGACTGAACCACCCCAGCAATTAACACCTTCTCTCCCACGTCGAACGGAAAATTTATTAATAGCTTTTCCCCACGGATTTATTAGACGCCCGATACATCGGAGCCACAAAAATAAAAGACAATCCTATTTTCTCCATGAGTTGTATTTAATCAACTCTGTTTATGGGCGTAGCTTATTCAATTATTGAAATTACTTTATTTTTATCCGGAAGTTTTAAAAGAACATAGCTTAATAAATTGGCAATTTCGGAGATTTCGATCGCAATCCTCGCGCTCTATTTATTCCATATATTATTGAATTATATTTTAATTTCACTATAAATTCATTAGAATTTAAAAATTACTAAATATTCTTCAATTTATATAATGAGTTAGGAATTAGTTTCTCCATCTTGAAGTTATAAAAACTTAAACTATGACAGTTTTACTCGAAAAATATTATTATCATCTGAAACAAAAATATATGTTTTACAATAGTAAAAGAAATTGTGGTATTAATTAACGCTAATTTGCAATTTCTTTCGAGCCTGGAAGTGTGTGATAAAAGTACTCGAATAAATTGAAGTTTATCTTGGAAATAAATTGCATAAATTTGTATTAGATGATCAATTATGAAGATTTAATTATTTGTTGGTATTATGGAAACGATGTCGGAAAAACATATTTGTTAATGCAGATACAACGAGAATCGCTTAATATACCGGATTAGTAGAGTTTATGTAAACTCTGAACTAAATTTCAACAATGTGATTTTAGCAAAATCGAAGCTTAATCGCCGGATTTAGATGATTCGTCACATTATTATTATTACTTCAATTACCATTAAACATTTTGTAAATATCCCGGACTGTTTGAAACCGGACTAATGTAGGTGTTAAACCCGCATAAAAATAAACAAATAGGAAACAAATTCCATATATTATTGAATTATATTTTAATTTCACTATAAATTCATTAGAATTTAAAAATTACTAAATATTCTTCAATTTATATAATGAGTTAAGAATTAGTTTCTCCATATTGAAGTTATAAAAACTTAAACTATGACAGTTTTACTCGAAAAATATTATTATCATCTGAAACAAAAAAAAAATGTTTTACAATAGTAAAAGAAATTGG